CCGGGGCCGGGCTGAGTTGGAGGTCAAGCTCAGCCCCCCCAGCAGGGCCTGGGCTGGGGACACGCAGAGCAAGGGGGCACCCAGGCCCAAAGCCAGAGGGCCCAGGAAGGGGGGCAGGGGCCCACAGCAGCAGAGGGAAGGGGGCACAGAGACCTAGGAGCCCATGGGGGGGTGCACAGGGCAGGGGCAGCCTCCCCCCACAGGTACCAAAAGGGACATGATTATTATCAGTCTTTTAAAAGCACTTAAAAATGCCCCCGGGTGGATGCCAGGCCCTTCAGACCCAGTGCTGGGGCCCATGGGGAGGCTGGGCTGGCCACAGAGGGGACAGCAGGACAGGCGGTTCTCAGCATTTATTTACAGTCTTCGTATGAAAATAGGAGGCATCTGATAGTGCTGGGGCCCCTGCCCATTCCTGCCGCGGCTGCGGCGTCCGATGGGGCCCCTGGGGCTGGAGCTGGAGGCAGATGGGGAGGGGCCCCGTGCCCGGAGAGCGGCAGTGGTGCCAGCCTCTACCCCAGCTCCGTGGTTAAAAAGGGTTAAAAGTGGCGGTGGGCGCAGGCCAGCAGGTACCCTCCCAGTGCAGCATGGGGGGATGCAGAGACAGAGCTGCCGGTGCTGCCTTCCAGGCCGTGGTTCGTGCCGCTCCAGGCCCTTGGCGGGCTGCTGCCAGCACAGGGCCGCGGGGGCCTCAGTCACTGTCCGAGCCAACGGCTGATGAACCTTTTCGTTTCCGCTTGGTAGGTTTGGGCTTGGTGTCCTCTTCCTCCTGCCAAGGGGAGTGGGAGGGTGTCAGCGTAAGGCCAACCAGGCCGTCCCGCGTGCTCACAAAGCTGAGCAAGGCAGCCCCCTCCCTCACCACTTGGGCGGCCAGGGACCCCCACGGGGCGCACCCCAGCCCTGACGGCGCGGCGCAGCCCGGCCCCCTGGGCGCCATGGGGGCCAACGGTCCCAGCCAGTGGCTCCGTGCTCCCGGTGCCTGCTCCGATCGAGTGTGGGGCGGGGGCGTGAGGGGGCCACTCTCACCGAGGCACTGCTGGAGGCCGACTCCTCCTCGTTGTTGGCAGGCTGCGCTGCATTCTTGCGGCTGCGTGGGCTGGACAGGGTGGCTTTCCGGCGGCTCTTGGGTGGTTTGCTGGAAGAGTCCTCGTATTCCTCCGCCAGGGAGAAGAGGTCGCTGAACCTGCCGGGACAGAGTCTGGGTGAGCACCAGCATTGGGGGCTGAGCACCCTGCTACCCTGGGAGCCTGCTAAGTCAGTCGGCACCACACCGGGCATCAGCAGCAGGTAGACAGAGCTGGGGGCTAGACCGGATGCGACTGAGGGGCTGCTGGAGCCCCTGCCGTGGGGCAGGGAGACGTAAACCCCTTCTACCAAAGGTCTTCCCTCAGGCTCCTGCCTGCTGCCCTCTAGTGTCACAGCATGAGGTGGCAGAAGCCGCCTGCCAGGGACCGCAGCCACGTGGGGACAGGCCCCAGGTCTCCTCCGATGCTGAGGGCAGGGGACTGAGGTAGAAACACCTGGGGGGGCAGCACAGTGCACTCACTTCATCTTGTGGGCCTCATCGCAGCTGGCCTGGACGTGCTGCAGCGCCTGCAGGATAGGCGTCTGGCTGAAAACTGCCGGAAGCAGAGATGCTGGTCAGAGCCCGGCACCCGCCAGCGCTCCTCAAGCCACCCCTACATGCTGGGCCAGTCAGAAACACCCCCCACCCCAGCTCTAGCGCCTGCTCATCCCTTTCCCCCTGGCCTCAGCATCCTCCTGTCTGGCAGACACAGGCTGCTGAGGTGCCCTGAGGACCCACAGGAGCCAAGTCCCAACAGACTGGTGCTGGGGGCAGGGAGAGGAGGCACTGAGGGGCAGGGAGGGGGAGCTCCAGCCTGTGGCCCCTTGGGTCTCCCCCAGCTACCAGCTGGTGCAGCTCAGCAGTGGATGGATGGAGAGGCCCTGATCCCAAGTGCAAGGCCCAACCATCCTGGTGCTACAACTGGGCTGAGATGCAGCCCTGGCCCCACAGACCCCGCTCCAGCCTCAGTGCTCCAAGCACAGCAGCAGACCCAAACCTACCCCCTCCCTAGGCATCCCCTCCCTGAGCTCGGGCTCTGCACGGGCCCCTGGTACGCACAGTTCTGCTTGGTGTTGGTCAGGTTGAGCCGGAGGTTGTCCAGGTGCTCCAGGATCTGCTCCAGGGTCAGCTGGGCCAGTTTGCTGCTGGAGCTGCGCAAGCTGGGACAGAGAGGGCACCACATCAGTGCCTGGGGCCAGGGCCACATCCCCGCAGGGACCCCTTCCCCCAGCCCAGCGGGACTCTGGCAGCCACATGCTCATTAGCGGGGATTAGCTTTGGACACGTGCCGGAGTGCAGAAAAGCCGGCAATGAGATGACGTGGAGGAGGAGGGGGTGGCCTTGGCCCTGTGCCCAGCACAGCAGGGTCCACGCCAAGCCCAGGCGCCGCCAGCAACGTGCCAGGGCTCGGTCAACAACCCTTCCTTGTGCCAGGAGATGGAGCACGGCTCGGGACTGCCAGGCTTCCCCTGGACGCTAGATGGCCCCTGTGCTCCAGGAAACCCAGCGTGCCATGCCGGCCGCCTGTGTCCTGCAGAGCCATGTGGGGAAGGGGCTTAGACCAGGGCTGACATAGTGGATGGGGCACGGGCCTCTGAGCGCCCAGGCCACAGGCTCCAGCAAAGCTGGGGATTTTGCTTCAGTCAGGAGCCTCCCAGCAGCACTGGGTCCAGCTCCCATGCCTGGCACTGGTTGGACCCCTTTCCTGGCACCCCAGGGAGGGGAGCCCTGGGACGACGCAGCCAGGAATGGGACACAAGGGTCCCCATGTGCCACCGGGGAAGGGGAGTACTCTGTTTATGGCACATGCTCCCTGCGGTCCATTATTTATTGCTATGGCAATAGCCTCTCTCTTGGCCTTGCCTCTGCTGCGGGAGGTAGCAGGGGTGGGGGGGTAAGGCAGGTGCTGGGCCCCTGCTCAGGGCTCCCTCTGGTCTGGCTGCACCTGGGGGTAGGTGATCAGCCCTTGGGCCTGGGTAGAGGGGCTGCTGTGATCCAGGATGCTAAGACCCCACCCCATGGATGTGGGCAAAGCACAAGGGACCCTAATGTGCCTGTGCCCCCCTCAGCACCCCCTCGCCTGTGCTGGAGGGGGGTGGGGGGGTGTCTGCTCCCGAGTTTTTGGTTGGTGATGGGCAGCCCCTTCCTGCCACCAGCATGTTCCTCTGACCCAGAGCCAGAGTGGAAGGAGAGGCTTGGGCCCAGTCCACTGCCGGCTCTCCTGCCCCCTGCCTGCCCCCACCTCTGGCGCTTGCGCGGGAGGCTGTTGTTCTTGATGAGCAGGGACTTGATGTGCTCGGCCAGCAGGTCATCGTGTTTGATGCACCAGTGCCGCAGGATGCTAGTGGTGAACTGGTCGTCAGGGTGGCAGGGCCGGCTCAGCACCATCTTCACCATCTCCTCACTAGGCCTGCAAGAGGGGCAGAGGGGTGAAGGAGAGGCTGTGGTGGGCCAGGACTGAGCCCCTGCCCCCCATCCTGCCCATGAGGCTGCCTAGAGACCCCAGGCCCTAGGGTCTGCTCTGCCCTTGGCCCCACCCAGGCCTGCACGCATGGCGCCATCCAGCCACGCAGCCTTGGTCCCAGGGGAGGGTGTGGGAATGGTGGAGCTGCATGGAGTCTGATCCTGACCCGCCAGCACCCACATGCCCAGCCGTGACCACACAGCCTGGGAAGTTTGCCTTGTGCCGACTGGCGGGCCCAGCGCAGGCGGCACCTTGTTTGCTGATAGCATCTACGTGGAGTTGTATGCTGCTGGGACACGAATGGCACCAGCCATGTCACCGCTCGATGCCTGATTAATAAGCTGGAGGAGCGGTGGTCATGGTGGCTCAGCTGCCAGAGCCCCCCAGGTTCCCCCACCCCATGTGGCCCCAGGCACCTACTTCTCTCGCCTCAGTTGCAGCAGCAAACAAGACAGCGCCTCCGGGTGCTCTGCAAAGGAAAGTGGGGTCACCAGTTGGTCCCCACCCGGTCCCCATCTGGCCTGCTACTGCATAGAGGCTCGCCCATGCCCAGGCCAGAGGTTGCCCCGAGATGGCTCACCTTTGTACTTGAGGTGCTGCAGGATGGGGATGATGGTCTCCAGGGGGATGCTGTGTGCCAGGAAGAGCTGCCAGGTGCAGTACTGCTCAAACGTCTCCCAGTCCAGGCTCTGAACTAGAGGGGAGCAGAGAGCCCATCAGGGGTGCCTGACCTGGCCAGGCTGGGAGGGGAAGTACCAGGTACTTCCTTCAGTTAGGCCTGCCAAGAAGCTGGGCAGATGATGGGCCAGTGGGGGGAGGGGGGAAGAGCTGGCAAACTACTGATCCACCTTCTCCTGCCCTGCAGGCCCTAGGTCTCCCCCATGCTCCCCACTTCTACCCTACAGGGTCCTGCCAGCCCAGCCCCAGGCCCCTGCCTCCCCCTCAAGTGCTGCTGAGGTCCCTCAATCCTGCCCATCTCCAGCTGCCACAGAGGAAGCAAGGCCTTTGCAGGTGGCCCTAAGCCCATGCCCAGCTCCAGCCAGCTGTCTTCCTGCACCAGGCGCTGCCTCTGGCCTGGCGTGCTGCCCTGGCTCTGCCGGCAGCTGCTTATGGAGCAGAGGGGCATGGGGCTGAGCCTGGTGCCCTCTGCTGGGCCTGGCAGCTGTCCCCTAAATACTCGTAGCCTCTTGGGGCAGCATGGGGGTGTTGGGGATGCCTGAGCATTCGAGTGTGGATGCCTCCCTGCTGCAGTGGGCTGGTTTCTGTACAGCTGCCAGCACCATGCCTTGGCAGAACAGACAGGATTCTGGCAGCTGACAGGTGGCACCAGAGCCCCACTGCTGCCGCGGATGTGGGCACGTGCAAGGGCTCAGGGGAAGGGCATTAATGAGGTTTGTTAATCCCTGGGCTGGCGTACTGCTCAGAGCTGGCTGTGTGGCGCAGTCCCAGCCCCACAGCATCTGACCCAGGACTGGGAGCCACAGGCCTGTTAACCTCTTCATGCCCAGCCCCCCATGCTGTCTCAGATGGCCAAGCCCAGCCTGGCGGTGTGCACCAACAAGCATGGACTGAGAAGCTGCACCCCCAAAACCCAGGCCCTTTCCCATGCCTGGGAATGACAGCCAATGCCATACATGTGCTGCCTGCCAGCTCTACCAGGCACAGATTTTAGGAGCATGAGGCTGGTGGCTTGAGAGTTAATTGCCAGTCAAAGGCAATTAAACCTTTGTTATCATGGGGCCAGAGCATCCAGTCTCTGCAGTGGGGAAGGAACTGCCAGCCCCAGACCAAGGTAGATGATGTGGTGCCCAGCCCCCAGTGCCAGCTCCTGGGCAGTTCTTGTGGCTCTCCCAGCCTGTGCTAGTACGCACGTGGCTTCAGGGCACAGAAAGCCCCATTCCCATCGTGGCTTTGGGTCCGGCTGGGACCTGCGGCCAGCAGTTAGTGCCTGGGGGCTGCTGGGCAGGGCTGGCGCTGCCCCCTCCCCTGCGGCACAGGGCATTACTCACTCAGGATGTTGAGCACTGAATCCTTCCGGAACATCACCAGGTTACCCATCATCACATGGCACACCAGCTCCTGTAGCTGGAAGGCAGAATGCCATGGGTGAGCAGGGGGGAGTGGCTCCATGCCCCAGGGTTCGCAGCTTGCCAGGCAAACAGCTCAGACAGAGGCCTGGCATGGAAAGTGCTGCCCA